AAGAATTTTCCTCAAACTTCTTAGGGTCCCTGGCTGGGTCTGAAAATTAAACTGACAAAGACGGATTAATAGGAGAAAACAGGCAAATTTATTTAATATATGTTTTACATGTGTTTAAAAGCAAAATTTAACCAAGTAAATTTGAATATATAATTAGGCTTTTACAGGCAAAAGAGGCCAGGGACAAGGAAAGAGCTTATTACCTCATCTTTCTCTGGGAGATGCCTAATCTCTTTATTAGGCAAATTGCATTTGCAGATCATTTTGTTGAAATAAATTTTGCTATTTTTTTAAAAAAATATTTTTATTGATTTTTTTTACAGAGAGGAAGGGAGAGGGATAGGGAGGTAGAAACATTGATGAGAGAGAAACATCGATCAGCTGCCTCCTGCATACCCTCTCCCGGGGATGTGCCCGCAACCAAGGTACATGCCCTTGACCAGAATTGAACCTGGGACCTTTCCGTCCGAAGGTCGATGCTCTATCCACTGAGCCAAACCAGCCAGGGCTAAATTTTGCTATTTTTAAGCTGTTATTTTTTATGCGTTTGCTTATTGATCCTTCCCAGCACTAAAGTGTAGAAATATAATACAGTGTAGAAAGAACAATTTCTACACATTTCTCTTGCTTGTTTGAGTTAGCAACAATGGTTCAAGTTTCAAACAAGTAGCATTTACTGAAAAATTAAGTGCAGGATTACATCCATGCTAGCTTTTTGGGGGATTCAATTTTATGCATTCATTCAAGGGTGGTTTTTTCAGCACCTGTTTGCCAATCTTTGTGGTAGGCATTGAGATTAGAGTTGAGAATGAGACCAACATGGTCCTTGTCCTTCATAGTGCTTACAGTCTAGACCAATGGTTGGCAAACTGTGGCTCTTGAGCCACATGCGGCTCTTTGGCCCCTTGACTGTGGCTCTTCCACAAAATACCAACTTCTGCGCATGGGCCACAAAGTTTCAATCGCACTGTACATGCGCGCCCGCACGTGGTATTTTGTAGAAGAGCCACAATCAAGGGGCCAAAGAGCCGCATGTGGCTCGAGAGCTGCAGTTTGCCAACCACTGGTCTAGACAAATAAGAGCCTGGGCCTCTGATCAGGCCATCTCTATGGGCAGTGCTACGTGCTGAGATACAAACATAAATAAAGGCTTCTTCTGGCCTTTCAGGAGCTTCCCCTGTAAGGATGACAGACCCAGGTCCACAAAGAGATGATTTCCTTACATTAGGGTAAAGTCAGAATTAAAAAGAAAAAGTTTAGAATTTTCAGCCAAGGCTCCTAAAGGAGGTTCCACTCAAGATTGACAGGTTAAAAAAAAAGAAGAGGATATTCTAGAGGAAAAGTCATAAAGTCTTGGAAGAAGAAACAGCATGGAGTATATAGAAAACTACAGAGGATCCAGTCCAACCACTAAAATAAATCATGAATCAGGGGATTTCTGGAGATGGTAGTGAAAGCAGGGGTAGTAAGGCCAGGCTTAGGCTTTTGCTTCTAGCCAGTGAAGCATTTGAGGGGGCTATGCTGGTAATCCTCTGTGTACGCCCCTAGATCTACTTTTTTTCTCTTTCTTTGCCTTGTTCTGTGCCCAAAAGGCTGAGTTCTCACAGACTGCATTCTCAGAGTTTCAGTTATTTATAACTGTATACCAAACCACTCCAAACCTAGTGACATAAAACAATCACAATCATTTTTTATTACTATTATCTCTAACAGATCTAGAGGCTGACTGGACTCAGGTAGGAGTTCTTAGTTGGGGATCTCTCATGTGATTTCAGTCAGACAGATGACTGGTGCTGGAGTCACCTTGAAGGCTTCCTCACTCACTTTTATGGTGGTTGTACTGGCTGCAAGTTGGGACTCTGCAGGGCCTTTGCCAGGAAACAGCCTATACATGGCCTCACCAAATGGCTTGGGCTTCCTCATAGCATGG